TCATCATCATCATCATCATCATCATCATCATCATCATCATCATCATCATCATCATCATCATCAAGAGCAGCAGCAGCAGCAGCGGAAGCCGAAGCAGCAGCGACGACAACAGGGACAACGTCTTCAATCATAACTGTTACTGTATTAAATAATGACAATTGAAAACAAAACCAACAACCCACTTCTTTATAAACAAGTTGTCTTTTTTATGATTTATAAGAGGCAAGATAGTGCATAGCTGGGCTTTGGTGTGGATGTTGGTAGTTTAAGATCAAATTCTTGAGCTACTAGATTGTTCGGAAATTTTTTCAAGGGTCACCATCTACTTGGCAAGGCCCAATCGGAGATGGACGTTAAATCTGGAGTCTTGGCGTCTTAAATAACTTTTAAAGTTTGAAAACGGTGTTAACCAATAGCATGTTTTCAATAAGTGCAAGAGACCATTTGGTGTTCACTATTCAGATTCGATGACACTGATCAGATACGATGGAGACTCGTTGGATATATGGGAACACTGCTTAAAGCAAATAGAATCCAAATACAGGACCTATCCTTGCGAAAAGGTTGTTTGTCAAGGCCGCTACTCGTATGATGTGCTCTCCCCCCCCCCCTACTCTTCATGAAGACGAAAATAGACTTCAGCAATTTGGAGACTACCTAACTCTGCACTTTTCTTAAGGTGTTTGAGGGGGCAGGGTGAGGGCGGAGTTATTGTGGCAGTCTTTCTGTCATCTCAAGGCCGCACTGGTTCTGCGTGGCTCTGGTTCACGTCAACTTCTGGCAGTAATTGACACCACCTCCACCCCAAAAAAGGAAAACAAAAACAAAGACAAAACAAAACAAACAAACAAAACAAACAAACAAAAAAACCGCTTCCCCAGCACTGTCTTTGTTAGCAGTTACAATAGTCGGGTTTTTTTTCATGTACATGTTTGTTTGTTGTTTTGTTATTGGGTTTCTTTTTTTTTTGGAGGGGTGGGGGGTGGAGTTTGTTTGTTTTTTGTCTGTTTTGTTACACGCTTTTGAGCTCCAGGGAGTTCTAAGTAAGTCCGGCGTCTGTGGTGAAGAGGTAAGTCTTTTCCCTGTTGCACAGTAAAAAACAGTGGGGCCGATTCCTTCCCCTTCAGAATTATATCTAGCCTAGGCCAAGGCCCCTTTTCCGCCTTCAGGCTGTGATGCTAGATTTTTCTCAGCGCTGGCTGAATCCAACTTTCAGAATAAAAAACACCAGCTTCCAAAATGACCTGGCGCGCGAGCACATGTGTGTGTGTGTGTGTGTGTGTGTGTGTGTGTGTGTGTGTGTGTGTGTGTGTGTGTGTGTGTGTGTGTGTGTGTGTGTGTGTATCAGTGTGTCAAGATGTCAAAATTGCTTTAACGGTCACCTGTCCAAGAGCATCACTTGTACAAACGACCTCTTTCCACTTCCCCTTTAACGGTTTTTAAAAGACAGTGACACTGTACTAGACGTTCGCCTGTCTAAGACGACAATTTTTCCTCGACACTGGGTCGCCAGCTTGGACAATTATGACTGTATATGATAAAACATACCACA